CTCTACGTCCATATTGATAAATGGAACGCCTTCCGATGAATTTCACATGCAAAGGGGGCTAAGACAAGGAGACCCCCTTTCTCCGTTTCTTTTTCTGCTTATAGGGGAAGTCTTACATCTCATGATAAAATCTGCTTGCAACCAGGGGCTGTTTAAAGGCATCCGGCTGGCTAAATCCAATCGAAATATTTCTCTCCTTCAATTCGCGGATGACGCTTTAATATTCGGTAAATGGTCGCGTAAGAATTTAGTAACTCTTACTAATATTCTTAATTGCTTTCATGAAGTTTCAGGACTGCKGATAAATATATCCAAATGCAAYCTTTTTGGTATTGGAGTTCCGGAGGTGGAGATCAACAATATGGCTGGTATGTTAAAATGCAAGGCCTCTTCTTTTCCTTTCATTTATCTGGGACTTCCCGTTGGTGGTAACATGAAGAAAAAAGCTTYTTGGTCAGTTGTGGAAAACAAATTTCTAAAAAATCTGTCAAACTGGAAGTCAAAATGCCTCTCCATAGGCGGAAGATTTACACTAATTCAGTCGGTGCTATCTTCCCTTCCGCTGTTCTACTTCTCTCTCTTCAAAGCGCCCAAGTCAGTTATCAACAACTTGGAATCTAGAAGGAGAAGATTTTTTTGGGGACATAAGGAGGAGGAAAAAAAAATGCATTGGGTCGCTTGGGAGAAAATTTTGTGCTCAAAGTCAAAAGGTGGTTTGGGAGTTGTCTGTTTAAAAATAAAAAATGATGCTTTGTTAGCAAAATGGGTCTGGARGTTCCTATCTAGTTCTAATGCCATATGGAAGGATGTAATTTCTGAATTTTATGGTGAGGGTGGTGGTCTCTTTTCTAATAGGTCTTTGGCTGGAAATAGTGTTTGGGCTTCTATTGTCAACACTTGCAGAAATGTGACAGTGGAAGGTCAGAATGTCATTCACTCGTTTACGAAACAGATTGCTAAAGAGTCTAACTCTCTCTTTTGGAAAGACGCAAGCATAGGTCAAGGGTCAAAGCTGAAAGATATATTCCCTAGACTTTATGCTTTAGAAAGGGATAAAAACGCTGTCTTCAAAGATAGATGGACCTATGTTAATGGTTCTTGGTCTGGTACTTGGAACTGGAATACAACGGTTAGAGGAAGAAGCTTAGATGATCTTCTAGCTTTAAAAAGGCAACTCTCTCAAACGCAYTTTAATACTTCGGGCGAGGATGTGTGGTCTTGGAATTGGCACAAAAGAGGGATTTTCACGGTAAAACACATGTCAAAGTTAATCCAAGAGCTAGCTGATTCGGATGGTGATAGCAACGATCCTTGTCTTTGGAGCCCCTTAATTCCGAAGAAGGTAAACATTTTCATTTGGCGTTTTCTTAAAGAGGCTATTCCCGTAAGATATAATCTATCTAAGAGAGGGATTCAGTTACAGTCTTTAGAGTGCATCCTATGTGAAAAAGGTGTCGAAACAATGGATCACTGTTTCTTTTCTTGTTCGGTGGCAAGCATTCTCTGGAGAAAAATTTGGGCTTGGTGGGATCTTAAAGCTCCACGACTTTCATCGGTGGCTGATTTTAAAATGCTGATCAAACAAGTAGGATCTCTTCGCAAGGTCGGTATAATTTTTTTATCAGTATGCGCTGTGGCTCTTTGGCATCTTTGGAAGTGGCGGAACGAAATTCTTTATGCTGAGGATGAGGTGAAAACCAAGAAAAAAGGTGAAGATCCATTCCCTTGTGTTCAAAATATCTCGAAGCTTTGGATGGGAAACAGAAATCGTAAATTTCATCTTAATTGGGAAGTTTGGTCTTCCTCTCCCTATTTTATTTAGTCTCTCTGTTTTTATCCTCCCGTCTGTTTGGGATAGGTTTCTTTTTTACTTTGGTTTTGTAAAGGGATGTCTTGGTTCCGTCTTTTTGGCCCTCGTATTTTTGGTTACGTTGTATTTTCTTGTATCTAGCTTCTTGCTAGATTTGTTTTTGTTATAATATAGTGGTTGGCTTGGTGAGGGTGATGGCTTTGCCGAAGCTCTCTTCCTTGTCCTTCCTTTTGCCTTTCAAAAAAAAAAAAAAGGTTATCTAATGCTATAACAATAAATTTTTTAAATTACAATGACATAATAAAAATAATTTAAAAGTATATTATTATAATAAAGAAAATAGAAAATACAATTTTATAGCAAGAAAATTTATTAAAATAAATTATTATTTCGTGAATTTTCCCCTTAATTTTTACCAAACAGTAATTAGCGCTGACTGATTCCGATGAGGGTTCTGAAACGTGGTATCCTAATGTCCTAACCTTAACTCTTCCATTAATATTTAGAGTAAATTATGGATTTGGTCCCTAAAGTTTATAAATCATTAATGTTCGGTCCTTTATTTTCATTTATTGCAATCTATACGTCCAACTATGCAATTTTTTTAGGTTTGGTCCCTCACACTAACTACCATTCATTATGTCCATTAACTATGAGGAGACAACGGTCGTTTTACTGCTTTTCTCTAAATTTAATTAATATATTTTTTAAATTTTTTATTATGAATATTAATTTCCCCTTAAAGCATGTATAATATTACTATTTTTCTCTATGGTTTGATTAGTTTCCCAAAACTGATGGAGAAACAATGGGAAAAAAAAAAATCTAAATCCACATGAAAATTCACTGTAAGTCTGTAGTATCTCAGATTGACTGTATCAAATATCGTTTGTCAGTTTTAAAATGTATTTAGTATAGGAGGTATCTGGTTCCCTTACAAGGCAACCTTGGTTCTCTCCTCAACCGATGTGAGATCTTACATTTACCGTTCACGATTATTTTGAAAAGGGACCAGACCTGGTTAGGACCGACCAGTTAAGCGGTTTGATCACCTCAACCATGTTGCAAATTGCCTTCTGTAATATTGATCTCCATAGTAAAGGCATCAACGCTAACAAACAATCCAGAGCACATTAAATTTTTATCAAGCAGTCATCAACTCTGACCCGTTCAGACAAGGGATCTGAACGATGGAATCTTAACCCTAACTCTTTAATTTAGAGTAAATTACGCAATTGGTCCCTAAGCTTTATAAATTATCAACTATAGATAGAAGAGGCCTTCAAGAATGTTTTGTGTTGGGTAAAAACAAAAAGGTTCAACATTACAACTAAACCAAAGAGTTATGATAACTATGAGATGACAAAATACAGTTTGTCATCAAAAGAAAAGAAGAAGAAAAGGCTAATACATAAAACTAAAACCTAAGAATAAATTGAATATGAATTAAATGATCAAATTCCCATTTAATCCACCTCTCTTTTAACATTTCATTCATGTACATGAAAAAATGGAGAAAAAATCTCGAGCTCTACACGTTTTTTAGCCGCTCTTCTAAAAGGCTTTCGGTTTCTCCATAAGAGGCGTTCAATACCACTGCATCGCCTTCGGCTAATATCATTGCTTTCCGCCATCTTTGATCTCTCTGCTTCCCTTCTCAACTCCACTGGTCTCGGAGATGGCGTTTGAGGCTCTTCGCATTCCCCATTTGACCTGTCAAAGTCAAACCATCTCACATGTAATGTATAAAAAGATCTACCAAAACCCATTTACATCTTCCGAACACTGTGTTCTTGAGTTCTCGAATTTGGGAAGAAAATAATGGAAAGTAAAAAGAGGGAAACAATGGAAAGGAAGTTCTCTATTTTTGTTCGGAAGGGAAAGAATCGAATGGAATGGAAAGGGAACAACTTTTCTTGTTCTTGAACTGGAGCAAAAAGAAAAAAAAATGTGTCAATTTTTACAGATAGGATCAGGTTCGGGGGAAAACCGGAAAAAAAATGAAAAACTAGAGAACACTCTAATAACTCGTTCATCTGTCCGGTATGCACACATGCATAGAAACCAGAAAACATCTTCAAATACTTGTATGAACATGTGCATACCGTCTAGATGAATGGTTATCAGACTATTCCTCGGTTTTTCTTTTTTTTTGGGGGTTTTCCCCTTAACCTCACCTTTACAAGTATACCACTTATATTTGTTTTTCTCACTTTATCTTTACGAGGGTATTTCTGTCATAAAAGATCACAACTCCTTTCTGATAATCTTTCCCTCCTTTTCTTCCTACATTTGGGAGTAAAATAAATAATATTTTCCCCCCTAAAAAGTTTAAAGAACACATGGTTTTTTTGTTTCTTCCTCCCTTCGCTTAAAAAAAGGTTTGAGAACGAATCTTCTATGTCTATTGCAAGTTGGAATACACAACTCTTGAGAGAAATTGGTCTAAATGAATAGACTTATATGAGCACTTGTAACTTTTATGGGGTCGGTAAAAATTATTTCTCAAAATTTAAAGAGGTTTGGGAAAGTGCACTTACCTTTCTTGTTCAATTGATGATGAAGTACATTTATCCTCGTTTGCTGTATCGACCTTACATGCAGGGCAAATGTAACTCTTTGGTGCCGAAGACAATTTGATACAATCAAAGTGATACCATTCGTCACATTTATCACAAGCAATCATTGGTCTCTGATCATATGGCTTCCTACAAATGCAGTAAAGCATACTACGTTCTCGCAGTAACTGCAATCACCAAAAACATACCACAATAAGAATAAATAAAATAAAAAGGAAGTATTCATATTTCATATAACACCCAAAGCCCAAAGCAACAGACACGCCCAATAACTTCGAATCCAACTAAACACCATGGTGAAAGTTATTGGTAGCTCACAACTTGAGGCTTATAAGGAGCTCACAAATCCCAATTTCTATCCATGTGAAACGAGTTGTTACAAACTCCCCCACTTAAACTCCTAATGCCCTCGTCAGGCCAGACCCGAATCTTCCTCCTTGTAATCAGCAATGTGGGATTCATCAAAGATGTTACAAACCCCCCCCCCCCCCCCCCCC